TACCTTTTTTAACAATTGAACTCACTTAAAATCTCTCTCACGTTGTGCTTTAAAATTTTCGTCGATTCAAGTTAAACACTTATCACTTTCAGATCAAAAGCGGGTAAAATAACAAAAATTACCATATATCGTTTGCTTGCCAAGAAATAATCTCCCTAACATTATTACATTATGTAAAATTGCGCGTATAACATAAAGTTTCCAGTGTCGCCGCGTACAGGAGTTTTCAAAGCGACCACAGCGACCAACCGTTACCGAGGCAGAATGATAGTCGTTTATCTGTAAAAAAGTTAACGGAGCAAGTACGGCGTATCTTTCATTATTTGTCACAATTGTTTCAATGTTTTTCAAGCTCGCGCGTCGCTCGGTAATTGTTTACATCGAGCCGCCGCGCCGCCGGCGACCGCCGCGCGGTCAGAGGACGTTGCTCGCTTCGCAGTATCGTTCGAGCCGCCGGCACGTACGCCACGGAGTAATGTGCGCGATTATTTTTCGCGTAATTAATCGAGCTGATCGATTCTGCAGGTGCCGCGGGACGTCGTTTTCGTTTCTCGGAAGAGAAAAACTTGGCTGTTTCGCTAGTCACGTCGTGGACTCGCGTAGTACCGCCGTAACAGTGCCGCCACCGCGCAGTGGCCGCCGGGAGCGGCGCCATGTTGATCCATTCGAGGAGCGCCGTGGGCACGCGGTGAATCGGTCTCGTGCGATGGTCGTCGCGTTTCACGGTACGCACAACCGCGGTGAGTTTAACATTGTTCAGTGTATAACTGGTGGCAGAGAATGATCCGTAAACGCTTAAGACTGTCTCAGTCGTAGACGCAGGGCAAGGCAGAGAGAAACGTAAGTCGTATACAATAGCCTTTCAATTTCAAGACTTAATTACGTTTCTCTCTGCCTTGTTCTACGTCTACGACTGAGACAGTCTTAAGCGTTTACGGATTGTTCTCTGCCATCAGCCTAAGAACCGCGCGACGTAGACTCGACCCTCGCGCGTCGGTAATCCATCAATACGCGTAAATCTCGGAAATCTCGGCCGAAATTTCACGTCGCTACGGCGCCGTCGTTCTCTAATTTTGACTCGTATCTCCTCGCGCGTGCAGTAATATCCGAGTTTTCCGCGCGTGACGCGCGGCGAGAGAAATATCCGCGCGAAATCGCCTTGTCGAACGCGACGCACGTCAAGTTAACCTCGCGCATCTCCGCGAGTTCTTCCCGCCGGAACGTTCCCCGTCATTTCGCGCGAGTGTCTCTCGTTCTTGTTGCAGTGACGTTCGCGTCGGTTAACGCCGGGAGTGCCGTGTCTTTCGCGAGTGTCGCGTTGTGCCAGTGCGAAATAGATGAGTCTGAGAGGAGGCGGCGGTCCAGGAGGCATCGGGCAACGGCGGAGCAACTCTGTGGTGAGTACGATTGTTTGTGCATTGTTCTCGCGTTAACGTTCATTTCGCGAATCGTTTTACTCCGTCGTTCCGTTTACTCAACTCACTCGTTCAAATTATTCGCATGAGTACCCGTCGATTTGTACGTATGTCCCCTATTATGAGACAAGTTCCTAATATAAGATAGCAGGATTTCTGTTAAATTAACAAGCATCGTCTATTGATTTCATCGTGAATTTATTGCTCTTGAAAGTGAAATCTGTTCAGTGGAGAATTGATTGTTAGATCGTGTAATCGTCGCGAAAAAAGATTTGTAATTGAATTTTAACGTTGAAAATCTGCTATCTCGTATTAGCCTATGTCATAATAGGGGACTATCCTTTATAAATCGTGGGTAATAATGCATCTCTGAATTATGGCGGGCGAGAGCGAGTCTCATTGCGAGCTCTCGGAAATATGCATGCTAGTGTGCCGGAAGACAATTTTGCAGTAAATACTTTTTATTTTGTATAAAATAAATCTTCTTGTTTATTTTAAGCAATTTAAAAATGATTTTCTTTAATATTGGTTTTGAATTCTCTGTTTTAATGTGAATTTCATAATTGTAATGTTATAGATTCAACGCAGTTAAACTCCGCTGCTGCGCGTCAGGTCGGTGAGTTGAAAACTTTTTTTATTGAGGCAACGAGTATACACACTATAAAAAAAATTACGTGTAAAATTACAATTATTATAGTGGGTAATGTTGGGGCCATCTATTAAAGATGTATATTTACATACGTCAGTAAATTTACTTCTTGTAAGTAAAGTTATTACTTTATATGTATAATAAGTAAACTGCTTGCTTTTGATTGTGTAAATTTTATAATTTTTTGTAATTTTTCATTATGCATAAACAAGTATTTACACAACAAAGAGTAAAAAAATTTTTTGTAACAGTACGTTTATATATTTCCGTTATTAATAGTGTAATCGCTACACAAAAGTTATGTATGTAATTTTACATACTTTTTTTATAGTGTATCTCGTAGATTGTACTCTCTAAAAATGAATTGGTGAAGATTTCACTGATTTTGTGACACTTCATAATTTTTCATACAATGTACATACAATTAATTTTATATAAAAACTTTGTTTAATTGTTCTATTTCGGCTAAGTGCTGGGTGGGCAAATAATTAATTACAAATTAACGAATCCCTCACAAATCTTTTCAATTGCTCTTCAAACTTCTTCATACGAAATTCAAACGATTGCATATAGTAGTTGTTTAAAAATGCGTTTATTTCCGGCCAAGTGTTAGCAAATCTAGAAAAGAAATGACGAAACATTGGCCGCGTTCAGCGGAGAAAACTGTTCAGTGAGCGCTTGCGCTGATTGGATTAAATCGTGAACCCCCGGCTTTGTTTTTATGCATACTATAATCGTGTCGAAGAATTACGTAATGTTATAAAGCCAATTTCAAATCGCTTACGATTAAAAAATTGAAAATTTCAAATACCAATAAAGAGAGAAGCTCTCTTTTTTATTAGACTTGAGTGTTTTAAGTATGCAAATGTTCCGCCATGGGGTTCGCAACTTATCCTGTTATTATTATGTGCATAAAAGCCAATAAAAAGAATTAAAAGCGCAAAAACTGTATTTAACCGTGTCGGCAAAAAAAAAGATGCCCGAAGGATCGTCTTAAGCCTTGTGTCCACGATCCAAGAACTGTGTCCAAGTTCTAGTTCCGAGAAATGCGTAGCCAATCACCTTGCAGCTTTTATAGAATTGCTGCAGGTTGATTGGCTACACATTTCTCGAAACTAGAACTTGAACCAAGTTCTTGGATCGTGGACACAAAGCTTTAGGGTACTATTACATTTGTCGTACGACAAATTTTTCAAGCGTGTCGATTGGCCGCTGAATAGAAAGTTTCTAGATACTCGAGAATTTTACTATCCTTCAGCCAATCAATACGCTTAAAAACTTTGTCGTACGACAAATGTAATACCAGCCTTAAGCGAGTATCGCAATAGCGAGGACGGTCGCTGAGTGGCTGGCGGGAGCGCGGCGGCGCGGCAGCCGCTGGCGCACTTGATTGGCCGGCGAGACCTTGACCGCGCGGTGACAGCGGGCGCAGCTGATTGGCCGCGGGCGCGCGATAAACGTCGCTCGACGACAAGAGCGGCGCGCGCAGCGTGTGTATCGGCGCCGTCGGTCGGCAGCAGCGAGCCGGCCGCGCAAGAGCAGTCGCGAGCGGCGCGAGCGTAGGCGAGGGTGGATCTCTTCTCTCTTCCCCTCCGATGATGAACGGCGCGCGATAGCTGTCAGTACGCGTTTCCCGTGGGTGCCGCGTCTCGTCGAGCGTCTCGTGCGCGCGCCGTGCGATGCGCCGTGTGGCCGCCGGTTTCGCGCTCGCGGGAGAGACGTGCCGTACGACGACAGCGGGCGGTCGCTAGCGCCCGAAAATCGCGGCCCCGGAGTTCCTGGACGGACGCCCGCGCGCGCGCTCCGCCGTGGATTTACCCGAGGGGTTGGCGCACGAGCAGCGTGGCGAGACGGTGGAGGTACGCGGCGGAGGGGCGCCGGAGCAGCGGATAACGCGGTGAGTAGCGGTCTCGTCGTACTTGGTGTCTGGACTCGCGAGTGGCGGCGGCTCTCCAGCGGCCGCGAGAGAGAGAGAGCCCGCCACCATAACAAACAAACGTAAATACGCCATTGACCCCGGCTCGGCGGCACGAGGTCTCGCCGGACACGGGGACGATCCTCGGATCGAGTCGCGACGCCGACCGCGAAGGCGGAGCGCGACACGGTGCTCTCCATTAGGCGACGTCGGCGATCGTGTTGTTTTCGATCGCGCGCAAGCGAGAGGGAGGGAGGCAGAGCGTCTCTCGCTTGCATGGGGGCGTTACATTTATACGCGACGGGGGGGACGTTCCTGACATTGATCGTTGTTACTGTCACGTTATTGCCATGCACGCTCGCGATTACGAGCGCGATTACCTTTGTGCGGTAAGGTGAGGCGCGGCGTTGTTGGCCGCTTCCGACTCGGGCGCTCGTACAAAGAGTCCACCCTAGGAGATTTCAATGCCCTCGGCATTGTCGCGCGTTCGGCGGATAAAGTCGTTACGTCGACGCTCTCGTTCTCCGAACGAAGAAACCCGCGGCGGATAATTGTCGAAACGGTGGGCGGAGAGGGAAAAAATTCAGGGGGCAAAAAAGAGCGCTCCGGGAAAATCGACAGCGCGACCGCTCTGCGTGAAATAAAGTACTCGGGGCTTCGATCTTTTTGAATTGAAAATATATTTTTTGTTTACCGCAGTTACGCCGAGAACGAAAGTCGGCAGGTTTTCGATCGAACAGCTGTCGCGGAACAAATGTCGTTCCTTCTTCCTTCAGCCGCTCGTCGTCGGTTTCAGTCGCGCCCAGGGATATTCTTGAAACGGCGTCGAAATCCTGCTTGTGTCAGGTCGCTATTGATTACCGCGCGATAACGTCAATCGCTAGCCGTTGATCACGCTTCGTGCGATCGTGAAAATTGCGAGGCGTCCATAATCGTCGGTTTTGCGTCGCTCGTACGCGTCACTGTTGGTAACCCGTGGAAAATGACGGGAAGGACTGCCTTCGAGGCAGGCTTTGTTTTCCTGTCAGAAGGGCGTAACCGGCTAATCGCGCCCGATACCCTCCTCTCAGGAAGGACGGTTTTAATCCGCCACCGTACGTGTCTGAGACTGACACGGCTTTCTTGCATTGCGTTAACCGTAATTCATGTGCGTTCGAACCCGGACGGTTCGCCCGGGCATTTAATCGCGCGAGTGGAGCGTGTCGCGATATTTTTCCTCGAATCTGCATCTCGTACCGCTGAAAAAAATATACAGGGTGTGAAAAACAAGGGTCCGGGACTTAAACACCGGACACGGTGCTCGTGAGAGGGAGCGAAAAATTAATATTTTCGGAGCTGTAAACTTCTTTATTTTGGAAAAAGTTTGCAATTCTGCGGTACAAAAGTGTGAGGTACGTGCGGCGAAAAATGGGGAGGAGAATATGCAGACCTTCTGTAAACTTTGGAGTTTGAGGAATTCTTCTTTTTTCTTTTCCCGAATAAATGGAATTTACTCCGACCAAAGTAGAGAATTGTTTGTAACTCGGAAAATATTATTCTTTCGACCGACGTTTGAGATTTTTTGCACTATTTCGCGAGCACTATTCGCCCTCCTTTTTTTTTAACACCGTGTATGTGGAAAGACGATGACGGGATTAAGGCCCAGTTTCACCAATGTCGCCTAATTGCAAGTTTAGTTTAATTCGTTCTTTGTTTCTTTCCAACTGTCACTCTAGAAAGAGACAAACCTGAATTAAACCAAGACTAAAGTAAACGGCATTTGGTGAAACCGGGCCTAAGGCCTGGTTTCACTAACGTTGCTCAACTTTACACTGATAGAAAAGTATGTAGTATTTGCGACTATAATTGCATAGTAAAATAATTATAGTCAGGAATATCATTTTTATAGTAATTATCACTATAATAATAGTAATAACAAGGGACTTCCGTTTCCGGCAGCGAGCGTGAGAGTTGTGTTTGCGAGTGTGAGTGAGTGAAGGAGTGAATAAGGGCAGGGAAGGTAGTGGAGGAGCGAGAGCAAGGTAGGTGGAGAGGTGAGGGAGGGTGGAGTGAAGGTGGGAGAGTAAAGGGGAGGCGCGAGGGTGAGCAGGAGTGCGGTAGTGGCGAAAGAGAAAGGTGGGTTAGACGGAGTGTTGCGGTGTGACAGGCATAGACTAGCGTACGAGGTAGAGGGGAAGCAGTAGATCCAAGAGGCCGGGCAGCGGGCATAGAGTAGAGAGAAAGATAGAGGGGAGCAGATAGAGGAATAAGGTGAAGTAGGTGAATATAACGATAGGAAGAGAAATAGGGAAAGGGAGGTGGTGAGGATGGAAAGCGAGAAGAAGGTGGAGGAGGGGTTAAAAGGGATAGAGAAAGGAAGGGTGGGAAGACCGACGATCGCGGAATCTCTGAAAAGAGAGAGGGCAAATAGCCTTCCAATAATCAAAATATTTAAGAAA